AAACCCTATACCAGGTTGCCACGGATCAGGACCAACTCGATGGCACTTTACAACATAATATTTTTCTTATTTTGTATTATTAAAGGTATCTGACTAGCATTACAGATGTGTAATAAAAAGTAGAAAGAGGCAAGTATTCATTCTTCAAGCAATGTAATAAGGTAAATATAATAAAGGTTAGTGTAATAAAACTTAGAATAATTCAGTTTGTTGAGAATCAAGGATTGTCATATTTCAGGCAAATACATATTTACCTTTCTAAGTCTGTATTTTAATGCTAGGTTTTTTGTTCTTTTTGTGTTTCCTTTCTTCCAATGACTAACACTTTTTAATATTCACACTCTTAGAGAGATGTATCACCTATTTCAGGTCATGCTTTTAGTGCACTGTTGCTGGTTAATGTAATTTAAAAGCAAAAACAAAACAATATTACAGAAGGAAAGTATAAAAGCCATACACAAAGAGTGGTACTGTATGCTCAGTTTTACTGTAGTCACAGGTTACACATTGGAAAGTCAAAAGAACACTGTACCGAGTTTTACTAACTCAAATCAAGTTAGCAAATAAATTTTAGAATACACTCAATTTATGTTTCACCCAATGTGGGTGATCACAAGAAAAGCTAAACAAAGAAAACTACGTTCTGTTACTTGTATTAACTGGGAAAACACAGTACTAAGTTACCTTAAGATACCTGAAAGCATTTCAGAACTGGTAGGGGATAGTTCATGTACAGTCTCAAATAAAACGTGTCTTTTAGAGGGTAAATAATAATAATATCACATATATCCATAGCGCTCCCTCCTGTTAAAAAAACAAAAAAACAAAAAAAACTAATCATCTCCATTAAGATTAAGCCTACTACGTTAATAAGGACTTTGAAATTATCTAGGTTTCCTTATATTGTTATATTGCACTTAAGAACAATGACAACAAAAATATTAAAGATTCAGTACCTATCTTGAAAAGTTCATTATGTATCAGAAATTGCCATGAATGCATATTGTATGCTGTTTGTCCATAGATTCATCTCTGAAACTAGACTACCAATAAGTTAAAAGGATGCTCTTCAAAACATTAAGTTGTTGCATTCCTTTTTAAATCCTATATTCAATTTGCAAATTCTGTAATATACACATATTTTTCTATCAAAGTACTACATATACAAGGTATCCAAGAGTACAAACAAAGGGACTTTGAGATAGGAAATGATTACACAAATTTTATAAGAATAACTTCTTCTTCCCAGGCTCAGCTTAACATTCTGCAATGTAAGAACGTCTATCAACTTACAAATTCTGCTTGACTTACACAAACCAGCTAATCTATTACATACAATACTTGCCACAAAATCTGCTAGGGTCATATTCACTATCAGAAACTTCCAGAGTCATTTTATAGAAGCCAGTATAATTTTTTAAACTAGTATCTGAATTTTCCCTTTATATAAATGTTTATGAGAATTTACTGTTAAGTCATTTTATAACAGGGAGCATTATGTAATATGTTTTGACTAGTTGTTTTACAGTTTGGAATCAAACGGAATTTAATCAGGATTACAGTAATAATTAAACATAAAAGAAAGGTAAAGGGAAGAGAAGAAATAATGATCCTCACACAAATTTTTCTCAAAGTATGAATTCTAAGGTAAGTGCCTATAAAAGGGGGCTCCAAAAAGGCTGTGGAAAATTCCATTATCTTTTCATTCTATTTCTCCATGAGCTTTGGAAAGCTATATATATAGCGAACTGAGGGACTCCCCTCTGAAGATTTTCCCAGATTCTGAACAAAGACTGAAAATCCATCAGAATTGGGTGGCCCACCTATACATGAAAGATCTGAATGCACTCTCTGTCATGGTGTTGGACTGAAGGAAGGGGTTGCAACAGTGTTCACTAGGGGGCACTCAGGGTGGACTGGTGGAATTTGAGCCAGTCTGTCCCTGATGAGAAATACCATAATGTGAAGATACCCATTTCCCAGTGTCAACGCTGTTGAATTGTATTGAAAAATCATGTTTTCGGTATAAAAGAATCTGGGGTTCTAAAACCAGCTGTTTTCTACGTATAAATGATGCTGCTGTTACAGATTTACCATTTTCTCTAAAAGGAAAGTCTACATTTTCTGCCTGTTCAGAATTGTTTAGTAGCAATTTATTCTTGAGTGTATTTACATTTTTATGATTTTAAGCTATTTTCCTGAAAGCTGAAAATATTGATAAATGGATACGATTAGCCTTTCTAAACAAATATTTAAAATATATATCTCCTCCCAAAGCTCATGGAGAACTAGAATTAAACCAGCTCAGAAACCAGCTCTAGTTCATTCTTGGTGTGATGCTGTAGAATAAACACTGGACTATTAACCACAAGGTTGGAGGTTCAAACCCACCAGCTGCTCCTTGGAAACCCTATACAGTTATTGCTAAAAGTTGAAATCAACTCAATGGCACTTAACAAAAAGTTCATTCACATGCATTTTTAAACTAACTCGATTAATAAGAATTTTTTACTTTAAAACATGGTGATATTTTAAACATATTTTTTGTAGGACTAATTTTTAAAATATATTTTAATCAAATATATCCACATGCTACATTAAGGGAAAAAGTATCTCAACATTTACTCAAACATATTCCTCAAAGAGCTGACTTTCAAACTACACTTCTATATTTTAATAGAGATATCTTTTTTTTTTTTTGGAAAGAAAAATTTTCATTACTGATTAAAATTATATTTTCTAAAGGCAATTGAAAACATCATGTTAATTTCTAATTAACATCCTTCAGATTGTAATATAAGACTGTACTTGAGATAGAGATACAGTAGAAAGCAAATAGTATCATTTTTGTCTGAGTGAGTATCAACCCAACATATATTTTTTACAACATATAAATATAGACTGCTACTAGGTAGGAAAACAGGTAGGATGAAAGTTGTTACAGACCAACTTATGGCTCTATATACTTGCCTTTAGGATAAAAACATTTTTTCTTAAAAACATATAAAGTCATTGGTAATAAAAATATTTATTGCATATGTTCTTTCAGGATACTAATAAAATCTGTACTCCAAAATTCATAAAATTTGAAATTTACTAAATCTAAATATAAAAGTATTGGATATGTTGTCAGAAAGGACCAGTCCCTGGAAAAGGACATCACGTTGGGAAAGTAGAGGATCATAGAAAACAGGAAGACCCTCCACAAGATGGGCTGACACAGTGGCTGCAACAATGGGCTCAAACAGGACTGAAGTGAGGACAGAGCAGGACGGACAGTGGTTTAGTCTATTGTACCTAGGGTCGTTATGAGTAGAACCTGACTCATCATTATCAAACAACAAATAAAGGCTCTGGTTAATGTTCCACTTTGTAAAACTTACCTAAACGTGCTTCTATTTTGTGATTAAACTATTAAGATTAGTTTATGTATTTATGTAGGGAATTATATAACACAAGACATGGCAAGAAAAAGTTCAATTATTTTTAAAACACAGGAAAACAGTCCATTATTTCAGGGAAGTATTTATAATTGTTGAATGAGGGCAAAAGTTAAAAAGCTATTAAACTCTCAATTCCCAATGCACAACATGATGCAATTGTAAAAATAATTAAAATTGACAGTCATCCCCAGGCCTTGAGAAACCATGAATAAATCATATTTCTGTAGAAAATTCACCACCCTAAGGCATATAAAACTATTAACTTGCCAACTGCATAGCTCTTAATAAAGATCCTATAAAAGTAGTTTGTGTTAACAAACCGAAGAAAAGCTTCAAAAGGTCTTTTCTAACAAGCTGCTTACAAATACATCTTTTAAAAGTCATTTTAATGGCTGATATTTTACCTTGCTTAAAATGAGGTAACAGCTATGTGATAGGTATTATGCTACGGCTAGAAGTAAACCATTGAGTAACCTAAGAGTTTGGATTCCAAGCATTACTTATGAGGTAAGGGGATGGAGGGATGAAGGGTGGGCTCCTATAAGTTGTAAAGATTCCTCACTAATCTTGACCTGTTCTCAATTACAGTTCTAGAAACAAAGAAGGTACATATAAAGGAGGAAAATAAGTTAATCCTAACTAAAAACTCTGCTTTAATCTAAGAATGTACTACTAATAAACAAGTATATCAAAGAACTATAAATACAGTTTTTAATTAAACTTTTCTTTTTTCTATTGTAAATAGCCAGAGCAAAAAAAATGAATAGATGTACTTTGGAAGTGATTTCCAACCCCATATGGCTTTAAATGTCTTCATGTTTAGCTGAAATTAAATTATACAACAGAGGTGTTTTGATAATATAACTAAATTTTAATAGAACTAAGTTAAACTTTTTAAGTTAATATGTAATAAAATAGGTTGAGGGTTGAGGATTAAATATGAATAAAAACTAAACATGTACCCAATTTCTATTTTAAAACAAATCATTGTACCTTTGTTATTACAAGAAAAAAATATTGATGTAACCATGCTTTAATAAAAAAAGTGATATTAAAAACTCAAGTTCATGCAACTATAAAGTATTTAGTAGCTTGAGGAGTTAATTGTAGTGTAAAATGTATTAATGTTAAATACCTACACAAAAGATATGGATGCTAGGGTCCAAATCTGTATTACTTTAAAACAACAATGACAGCAATAAACAATAAAATTAAACATACTAAATAGGAAGCAGTAATTATAAGGGGTTCTGTTTTATATAAAGTAGTAACTCAGGCACTACCTGTCTTATATACATTACTGAGTAAGAATTATCACTTGAAATTTTATCATTTAAATAACTAAAAACACTAGTCAGTTGATGCCTATTAACTGTATGCCTTGAACTTATTTATAAAAAAAAGGCCAGCAAATTTTGCTCTCATTCTGTGGTTAACACCAATGGTCATGAACATCAGTGGAGTCTTGGAATTTTATTCCCCATTAAGGAAATTTAGATCTGTAATGAAGACTGTAACTCCTATGGGTTAGGATGTAGGATAAATTAAAAACCACAGTTAAGCTTCAGAGTTTCCTTCACTATTTTCATGAGGTTGAAGCTGCTCCCTCTCTTGCTCTTCTTGAGGTGGCCGAACACGTTTAAAAAAGCCCATCTGTCAGATGAAGAAAAATAAACATTACTGCCTTACCAGGAAAGAACATTAAGAGTACTTTTAAGTGATTGTGATAACCGAGAAAATCTAAGTGATAGTATAATCTCTCTTGATTCAAGTAATAAATATTGCCCAAGATACATCAACATTATAGGATCCTTTCTTTTTCTATGCTTCCCCTTTACCTCTCTTTTCCTAATTCCATTACTTACCCTGTACATGACAAACACCAAAACCGCCAGTAACAACAATCCTGCTAGAACTGCTAAAATGATCACCCACACAGGCACGGGCATTGGTGCTGGCTGAATGCCCCAGGTGACATCAGTGGTAACCTGTCGGGAGAAACAAACACTTTTGAGCTGCAAAATCCATCCTTTCACTTACTCGATAAATATCTGTGTACTTGTTTTTGTTGTTAAGTGCCATCAAGTCAGTTCTGACCCTGTATAGGGTTTCTGAGGAGCTTCTGGTGAGCTTGAACCACCGATCTTGCAGTTCAATGGCTTTGCAATCTGACACATTAACCCACAGTGCCACACCAGGACTCCTTTATCCTGCATTTTAATTACTTTCACATGATTTTCTTTTGTTACATAATCATTTGTAGTCATATATTTAGTAATAAAAGCATGAACACACAAAACTCCTCTCGGTAGGTTAACTTCTGATTGCCTTTAAATTGATTTTTTAAAAATAATTCAAACCACTTTATGATTCTCAAATGGAAGACCTTGAAAATGTTGTCACTTGCTATAGATAATTTTCAACTTTTTTGCTTTGAGAGGGAAATTTTTTAAATTTAGAATTTCTCCTACAAAACTTTAACATATACTGAGATCCTATACACAAGACAAAACAGAAAAACAAAAGCTCTAGCTTTATTAATTCCATGGTAAAAGCAATAACATTAAACAAGATTATAATCCTATCAAATAACTTAAAAAAATTAACAACATAGCTACATTGCAACAATCTTGTTTTTTAATGACGAAACTAAGGTGGCTTGAGCTGAATGCATTTATTTCATTTCCCCAAATAAATGACTTACTAATGTTGAGTTGAAGAGATCCTCAATTGGAAGGTTCTTATAGGGAAACTCTATGACGTTAAATGAAGCAGATGACTTCAGAGAATATGAATGATTCTGGTTTTCTTTCTGAATAAAAATAACAATAAAATAATTTCCCAAATGCCAAGACATTTGTACTTCTTTGAGAAAGTGGATATGCTTTAAATGTTGCCTCTGTCCACTTACATTCATAAAGGTCTCGGTCCACAAGAGAGACTTCACATATAGAATCGCACTCTTTCCTCTATCTAGTCTTCCAACCTGGCAGACGATCTTCAAGCATTCAGCAATTCCACAGCCCTTCCAAAACAAAGTCTTTTACTCTCAAGAAAAGACCATTCTGTCATCTCTTCAAACTTAAATACTTCAAAATTAGGCATTTTATTATTGTTATCTGAAGTCCAAGGAAATTAAAGAGATAATTCATGTTCTTTTGTTTTAAGGAAATAATGCCTAAAAAGAACAGGCTAAGAGTTGAGATCCTGAATTCTTTTTGTTATGAAAGGTATGGTTTGATGTGGTTCGTTATACATCTATAATAGCTCTATAATATTCAAAGACGCATTTTTATGATTAGAGTTCAACATCCTTTACTAGAATACATCTCTTTAGACAAATGCAAAGGTGTGATTTTAGTAAGCCATGAAAAGCAGATCACAATATTCTTATAGAAAATAAAAAGAAATGAGTGAGTTGCTTGTGATTTGAATGACAGTTTATAAAGCATTTTGCTTTTCCATGCAACAATTCATACACATTTTGTTTTATGATACTGACTGCAATCCCCATGATTTAACAGTACTCTTCCCACTTCCTCCTTGAAATGACCACACCCCTTTGTCCTTCATCCTGCCTTTGGAGTTGTACCCCTAGTTAAATGCTGCTCTTTTGATCTTCAGTGGTTGATTATTCTAATGAATGTGTGTCACCCTACTGTTTACCTTATATACCTCTTTATCCTTTGGCTGAAAATTGAGCCGCAAGGGTGTGTTCAACTCTAGACCTGAAGGGTGTCCAAGGATTAGTCTCAGGGTTCCACGAGTTCCTATCACATGGTAAGCCTGGTCTTTTTAGGATTTTGAGTTGTGTTTCACATTTTTTCTCCTACTCTATCCAGGATCCTCTACCATAATCCCTTTTCAGAGCAGTCAGCAGTAGTAGATAAGTACCATCTAGTCCTTCTGGTCTCGAGCTCATGGAAGCTGGCGTTTGTATGCTCCACTAGTCCTTTGGACTAATTGTTTCCTTGTGTCTTTGATTGTCTTCACTCTTCCTTGCTCCAAATGGGGAGAGACCAAAGCTGCACCTCAGAGGGCCACTTACCACCTATTAAGACTCCAGTTGCTTCATTGGTCTCTCCCTGTCCAGAGGAAAAAAGAGAGATGAAATCTGAAGATACTTGGAAACAGTTAGTCTAGTGGACTGATAAAATATGTGATCATCTATCAGTCTCCATGAATGAAACCAGAAGAACTAGACTGTGTTTGGCTACCACTACCAACTGCTCTGAAAGGAATCACATTATAAGGTCTGTTTAAAGTGGGGGAAAATGTGGAACAAAACTTAAAATCACACACACACAAAATCCCCAGCTATTTATTGGTTCGACAGACATTAGTGGGACCCTTAGAACATGGCCCTTGATTACTCTTCAGGTCTGGAACTAAACTCACTCCTGTGTCTCAATTTATAGCCAAGCAATAAGTAGGAATACAGTGGGGGGACAACAACACTAGTCAAATACACACACCACAAAATGGTCAACTATTTGAGATCAAAATGGTAACATTTCCCTAAAGACAAAATTCAGATGGGATGAGAAAGGAGAAGGAATGGAAACAAGAAACCCAGGGAGAAAGTGGATGTTATACTGAGGAGACTTTAATTATTGAGATGAAATAAAGTGTATGCTTCGTAAACCTCCACTCACAATTCCCATTAAAAAGTTTAACCTCCTCCCACCCTCACCCCCCAGAAAACAGAGCTCATTCAAACAGGATGGTGAAAGGCCATGAACTTTAAAAAAAAAAAAAAAAAAAATCCCCATTGCTATCACCAAAGTTAGACACTGAACACTCTTTGTGGACTATGGTATGCCAATTGACTTTAGTGACTCTGAGATTATACTGCTGCGTCCTCAGACCCAGTGACTCATTCCCATAAGGTATTTAGTTATTGATAAATTTTCATAACTTTGACCCTTATATTTGCAACACATATAAATACATATGTAGAAACATTCTCTGTCAAACCTATACATATTTGGGGGTATAGTTCCCGACTTGCCTTCTCACCCCTGTTCAGTTTGAGTGCCTATCAACTTGTAAATTATTTGCATTACTGTTATGTCAGGATTGTGTAATTACCTTTTTGGCCTTTAAGTCTGTGCTCCTTCCAGTATTTTCTGTTGCCTTGATCAGTTTTTGCTGACCAAACTTTCACTGTATATTTCCTTTCCCTTCACCCAATAATTTGAATTTTTAATGATTGATGAATAGTTGGCCCACATTAGGCCTATGGGGAGCATGGAGGCTCCAAAGGATAAGCACAGGTTGATGATTTGAGCCCACCAGCTACTTCATGGGAGAAAGATGAGGGTTTCTTCTCCCGCAAAGATTTATAGCCTTGGGAACTCTAAACAGGGTCAATATGAACCAATTCAATGGCCCTTAAAAACAATTAGCCCTATAGCTGAATTCCTAATGGGAACTGTCCTCATTCAAAAAGAGCTGTTTTTTTCAAAGTTACTTCTTCCTTGGAGATAGCAACATCTAATGTATGGTTGAGTCCTGGTGTGGCGCCATAGGATAAGCACTGGACCTGAAGGTCGGTTTAAACTGCAAGGTTGGTGGTTTCAAACTCACTAGTTGCTCCTCGGAAACACTACACAGGGTCACTATGAGTCAGAATGGACTCAATGGCACACAATAACAACAACAACAACAAATGAATGGTTAGTGTGTGGGTACCAAAGCCTTGGTCCCATAATCCAGTTTGTGTTATTGAGAGTTCTCACAGACCCACAGTTCCCCATAAAGACAGCTGAGACCTTTGTCAGAAGTTCAACTTTTCTGCCCATTCCTGCTTCTTCTCTCACTCTTATTGCTTTTGCATACCATCAGGAGGATTCAGATTCAAAGGTACCTGAATAAGGTTTTCTAGGCTGTAGTTTTTATGAGATTAGACTGCTGGGTCTTTCCTATCGTGTATATTGTAGTGGGTTCAAACAGGTATTTAGCCACTGTGCCACTAGGGATTCGTTCCCTCATCAATACTCCACAATAAATCTCCTGCATGCAAATCCATGCATCAGAGTCTATTCCCAGGAATTTGCTGGTTCTAGGAAGCAGGCCCATTAGAAAGCTGGATCACCTGTCAGGTGTTGGTAGTAAGAACCCCATCACAGGTGGTAAGTGAAGGACTGAGTTCCAATCAGGCTGTAACAGTACAACTGTTGAAACTGTCAACATTCAAAAGTGAGAGCAAGGAAACCACAGATACAGTAGACAATGAATGCACTGTTGGGTGTAGTATTTTTCAGGTATTCAGAGATCAATAGGAGGGAAGATGCAATAATTTCACTGATAATGAAATCACATGACTTCTGAACAGTGCAATTTATATAATTAAGAAAGTTCCCACAGCAATCTCTAAATGCAATGCAATCCCGATCAAAATTCTAACAGCTTTCTTCAGAGGAACAGAAAAGCCAAAATCCAATTTTTATGGTAGGGCAAGGGACTGACAATAGCGAAAGCAATCTTGAAGAATAAAGTAGGAAAACCCACAATTATTGATTTTATGGTCAACTGATTGTCAACAAGGATGCTAAGTCCATTCAATGAGAAGGGAAAAGTCTCTTCATTAAATAGTGTTGGTAAAATTGGATTTCCACATTGCAGATGAATGAATAAGGATGTGCATAAACCAATTCAAAATGGACCAAAGACCTAATATGAATACTAAAAGGATAAAATTCATAGAAGAAAATATAGGGGCATGGATGCAGGGCCTAGTTTTTATACAAGCACAAAAAGTACAAGCAGTAAAAGAGAAAAATTGATAATTGTGACCTCATAGAAATGAAATATTTTTGTCCATCAAAGCACTTCACCACAAAAAGCGCTTAGCTATATAAATTGGATGTAAAATTTCAGGAACCATATATACAGTAGTGGTGGTGGTGGTGGTGGTGGTGTGCCGTGGAGTTGGTTCCGACTCATAGCGACCCAGCATAGGTTTTCCAAGGCTGTAAATCTTTACAGGAACAGAAAATCTCCTCTTCCTCCTGCAGAACAGCTGGTAGTTTTGAACTGCTGACCTTAAGGTTACCAGACCATCTCGTAACCACTACCAGAGCCTCTTATAGGGGTCTAATATCCAAAATATGTTAAAAACTTCAGTTACTTAACAACAAAAAGGCAACCAAATTAAAAATAAATAAATAAATAAAAAGGACTTGAGCAGATATTCACCAAAGAGGATCTTCACATGGCCAACAAGCACATGAAAAGATGCTAAATATTATGAGTCATCAGAGAGATGCAAATCAAAATTACAATGAGATACCACTTCATTCCTTCTAGAACAGAAATGTTTAAAAAAAGGAAAACAAGTGTTTGCAAAGTTGTGGAAACACTAGAACTTCACTCACTGCTGGTGGGAATGTAAATTGGTATAGTCTTATGGAAAAGGGTTTGGTGGTTCCTACAAAACTTGAACATAGACCTGTCATATAACCCAGCAGTATCAGAAGAAGTGAAGGAAAGATTAGAAGCCTGCACAACCAATGTTCATTGTAGGTACTTTTCATGAAAGCCAAAGGGGGAAACAGATAAATATGGTATATACATATAATGAAACACTAATCAACCTTGCAGAGAAATAAAATCCTGGTGTATGCCACTACATGAAGAATCGTGTTGAAACATCATGGTAAATGAAGTAAGACCAACAAAAAAGGACAAACGTATGTTCTCATTTGTATGAAATAAGTAAATATATAGAAACTAAAGATTATTAATGTTACCAGAGGTGAAAGGGAGGTGAAAGAGGGGGTTTCTGCTTAGGGGGCATTGAGTTTATGTTAATGGCAGAGGAATGATTTGAAAGAGGGTAGAGAGAATGGCCGCACAACTTGAAGAATGTAATCAGTGGCACTGAATTGTACCTGTGAGGTTGTTGAGATGGTGCATGTTTTGATATGTATATTTTCAGTACAGTAAAATAATAAGAAAGGTCATGAAAGACTCAAGATGACTATCACCAATTTAAGCCCCTCTTTCCCCAAACTGATGCTGACTCATGGTGACCCTATATAGGGTTTACAACATTATAAATCTTTACAACATCAGATAGCCTCAACATTCTCTGTTAGAGCAGCTAGTGGGTTTGAAACTTGAAGCTTGCCGTTAACAACCCAATACTTAAGCCACTGTGCCACCAGGGCTCCTTCCATTCTACTAAAACCAAACTCAGTGCCACTGAGTCGATTCCTACTCATAGTGACCCTATATAGGGTTTTCCAACACTAAATCTTTATGGGAGCAGGCAGTCTCATCTTTCTCCAGCCATGCAGGTGAAAAGGTTTGCTGCAGGACAAGGAATTAAAAAGCTAAGGATCCGGTCTAGAATTTACTTACAAAAGTACCAAAGTTCCAGAGAAGCTTGCATTCTAATTCCAACATGTCTGTTTTGATAATGTCACAGGCTTCATTGGGAAAGAATGGAATTCTAATACTTAAGATGGAGAAATCAGAACTATTGCACTTAATAATCTTGAAATTTCAGATTATTCTAAACCCTTCGGGTTTGAAGTTTGAATAGCCCATTCTTCCCTGTTAAGACTAGTACTGTCCCCATTTGAAAGAAGACGGAATCCCCTCCTTTGCCATATGTCTCAAGACCTCCCTTCCACAGTGGACACAAAGCTCATGGAGGTAGCCCAATAGGTCAGTAAAGAGTGCAGTCAGAAAACAAGTTGAAAATTAAGTCGTTTTATTAGCAGTCTACACAGGTAGAACATTTGAGGCAATTGTAACTTGGAACAAGTAAGAAGACTGAATGGTATAAAAATATATGTAGTTCTTCCAAGCACAGCTGTTGTTATTTTTGAAATAAGTTATTTGGTATCAGTCTTATAATCACATTTTTAAAATATTTTAAATGTGTGTAGTTAAAATGACACTTACCAAAGTGTGAACATCCCCTTCACTGAGGGTGAGATCCCGCTTTGTGATGAGATGGTTCCGATCACCCTGCCCAGCCACGGTGTCATTCTTCTCTGTTGTTTGCGAGGTTGAGACCTAGGATTGCATTAACAAAATGGAGATAAATAATAAGAAGAAACGGCGTTTTTTTTTACATTGACACTTAGACATAAATTTATCTATTAAAAACCAGTAAACAAAGTTAAGTTTAGGTTATGACAAGAAACTCCATTAATAAATGGATGGTTAAAAGTAAGGACAGAAAGTAAAGTTTATAATCATTATGTAGACTAAGTTGCCTCTGCTTAATCGTGATTTTTTTTCCACTTGCATAGTTAGAGGGAAACTAATGAAACATATAGAAACACTCTGATATTTCACATCATTATTGGTGATAAGTGTTAGTCACCTGTTTACTTTTTCTTTTATTTCAATGTATGTGCTAGGACAGAAATAACTATATCCAGAGTTATATATAATTATAGAAGATACCACTTGTCTAATCTGTGAAAGTCAAGACAGTCAGAGTAAAGGTTTCATCTTATCTGCGAAACCGAAATTCCACATATCCTTGTTTTATGAGTGGGCTCATGGGTCCAAATGCACAAAGCGATACGACCATTATGATACATAGGGTCTTCCCTGACTGGTTTTTGGAAGTAGATCATCAGGGTTTTCTTCTGAGTTTATCTTATACTGTTCACTATCACAGCAACATGCAAGCCTCCAATGACAGATGAGTGGTAGTTGTGCTTGAGATGTGCTGACCAGGAATCTAATCCAAGATCTGACACATGAAATCACCACAGACTTCCTGTAACTGACTGTTATACATTGAATAAAACTTAATGTGATGGCGTGAAGGTCAAATTGAGTCATGAAGATAAACAACTGTAAACATCCACTGAAAATTGGAACATGGAATGTATGAAGTATAAATGTGGGAAAATTGGAAGTTGTCAAAAACGAAATGGAATGCATAAACATCAGTAACTTAGGCATTAGTGAGCTGAAATGGACTGGTATTGCCCATTTTGAATCTGACAACCACAGTTTACTATGCTGAAAATGATAAATTGAGGAGAAATGGTGTTGCATTCATTGTGAAAAAGAACATATCCAGATCAGTCGTGAGGTACAATGCTGTCTGTGATAGGATAATATCCATTCTCCTACAGGGAAGCCCAGTTAATACCACTATTATTCAAATTTACACACCAACCACTAAAGCCAGTGAGGATGAAATAGAAGAATTCTAACGACTTCTTTAATCTGAAATTGACCAAACATGCAATCAAGATGTATTGCTCATTACTGGTGATTGGAATGTAAATGTTGGGAGCAAAGAGAAAGAAGCAGTAGTTGGAAAATATGGCCTTGGTAATAGAAAGGATGCTGGAGA